ATGATCCTAGTTTAATTTTATATTTGAATCTATAATATAATGGGTCAATTTTGATTAATATATATGTCATAACGTCCAGATCCGGGGATCTATCGCTAGACGTGAACTTTCAGGGAGTCGCCACCAATCTTTTTTATCTAGGTGCGATTGGCCACCTAAAGAATCTGTCCTTTCAGGGAACACTTAAGTTTAAGGGTCCCTAAAAGAATAGGTTCAGATCTACAAACCAGAACATGATTTGAGAGTTCGGTTACGTGTGAGGAAAGTTATAGCACCCTCACAACGCCCATCAAAAGATGGTACCAGCTTAAATTTGTGTTATCCAATTAGCCTTAAAATTTTACCAAGTAATTAGTTATTGAAAATTATTCTCAATTGACTCTAATACTTTCAACAGAAAATTGAGAAAATTCCCTCACCTCAGAAGTATGCAAGAAAGAACTATTGTTTCACTTGCAGAGGCTCCGTCGTCGGATTGTTTAAAGAAAAATCAAAATCAAAATCAAAATAAGAAGGAAGGAAAGAATGATTGTTCTTGTGCAGGGAAAATTAATACTTTCAACTTTTCCCCAAAAATATTCTTTTGAAACTTTAATTTCGAGGAAAATTGATACTTTCAACTTTTCCTCAAAAATTTAAAAATTTATTTTTAAGGAAAATTGATACTTTCAACTTCTCCCAAAAGTATTTTTTGAAAACTTTGATTTTAAAGGAAAATTTATACTTTCAACTTTTCCTCGAAAATCTTTTTTTTGAAAACTTTGATTTTAAAGGAAAATTGATACTTTCAACTTTTCCTCGAAAACCTTTTTGAAAAATTTATCTTTAAGGAAAATTGATACTTTCAACTTTTTCTCAAAAACCTTTTTTTTGAAAACTTATTTTTAAGAAAAATTGATACTTTCAACTTTTCCCTAAAAATATTTTTTTTTGGAAATTTTGATTTTTATTTAAAAAAAATAGAATAATAAAAAAATAAAAAATAAAAAATAAAGGAAAGTAAAACAAAAATAAAAATAAGATAAAGATAAAAAATATTAAATAAATCTAATCTAATAAATAAAAAAAATTAAATTAAAAAATAAAAAAATTAAATTAAAAAAAAATATGGAGCGGCTCGGATCGCAGCTCGGCTCGGTTCAAGGAAGAAAAACGGCTCGGGGGAGAGACTTGGAAGCTCGGCTCGGCTCGGCTCGGCTCGGGGGCTGGCACGAGCGGGTCAAGAAACGGGTCGACGCTCGGGTCGGGTCGGGTTTTCGGCAAAACGCGCGGATCTTCTGGTTACTTAAAGCCAAAACGACGTCGTTTTGAGAGGGTATAAAAGGTACTTCCCTCTTTTTTTCAGCAGAACCCTTTTCCTCTCTCTCTCTCTCTCTTCTTCCTTTTTCCTCTCCCTTCTCTCTAAAAGCTGAAGAACACCGGTGGAATTTTTATCGGATTCTGGAAAATGTCACCCGGAATCTGGAAAATTTTGCCGGAAGTTGGTCGGAAGATCATCGATTTCTGGGAATCTTACCGGAAACTGGGTAGGTCGCCGGAAACTTCAAGGTTCGTCGAAATTGTTGCCGGAAAATTCAAATGTCGCCAGAATTTTCGTCGGAATCTGAAAATTTCCCAGAAATTTTCAAAAAAATTTTTCGCCAAAAATTTCTAAAAAAATTATTTTCGATCCCTACAACTATCCTAACTCTTCTCAACCTTCTTTAGCCTTCGAAAACTCTTCTATACACCTCTTTTCTCTCCAATTCAGTAGCTTTGCTCATTGTTTTTTTTTTTTGTCTTTCATTCTGTTCCAGGAGGTGCCTTTTATAGGGGTTGATCAGGAGTTCCTGATCAATCCCAATTCCTCCTTGGACGGGGATTCAATCTTTGAATCCAATTGGACTCTTCTGATTGAGTTCCCCTCCACAGTGGGATTCTTCATCTTTTAATCCCAGCCATCCAAAAAAGAAAACAAAGAAAAAATAATAATAATAATAATAAAAATCAGATACGGATCAAGAAAAGAGAGAAGAGAAAAAAAATTATTAACAGATAATTAGGGACACAATAAGATAAACCAACCAAAAAAAATATTACAAGAAAAAGAGAAAAAAAATAATTATAATATAATAATAAATATATAACTATATAAATATAATACATATAAATATTAACAGAGAAAAAAAATAAATAAATAAAGATATACATATATTAATATATAATAATAATAATGAATAATAAAATATGTAAAATACAAAAGAAGAAAAAAGAAAAAGAAAGAAAAGGAAAAAAAAACATAAGATAAAAATTGGATTGGGCTTACCCATTTGGGCCAGGCCCAATTGGGCTGGGCCTGGACCCAATTGGGTGTCTACAGCTGCCCATCTTTGCACATTTTCAGTGAAACAGAAATTGCGCAAAGACGTAGACACCCAATCCAGACTCAACTCAACATTGTCATTTTTTTGTTTTTTGTATTTTTTTTTGTGTTTTTTTGTGTTTTTTTTTTGTTTTTTACCAAAGCTCCTCTAAACAGAGGCACCACAACTTTGAAAAATAAATTGCTCCTCTAAACAGAGGCACCACGACTTTGGAAAATAAATTGCTCCTCTAAACAGAGGCACCACGACTTTGGAAAGTAAATTGCTCCTCTAAACAGAGGCAACGAAACTTTGAAAAATAAATTGCTCATTGACAATCATGTCCAAAGGAGTTGAAAGTTGTGTTTGAAGGAATTTCAGGAGATTATGCCCAAAGGTCTTGTAAATCAATCCTGATACCAAAAGATATCATATTTCAAGGATTAGGAACTTACCTGACAAGCTTTTTCTTTTTCAATTTTGCAAAATATCTTCATATCTGTCTTCTCCATGTAGGATGTTGGAACACCCTTGCTTCTTGAATTTATACACTATACTTTCCTGAAAGTAGTGTATGCTGTGCAAATGCATATGAATTTCAATGCATGCTATGCAAATGTTGGTCAATTAATTCCTGTTCAATGTATGGCACTCAAATTTCTCAGGCTTTTTTCTTAGGCATCAAGCCCTTTGATTCTTCAGAGATCCAATTACACTGCTCTTCTAAGATCGAACCAGTGTAGCTCTTAATTGTTTCTCCCACTCATATTCTTCCTTGTTCAGTTTCTCAATACTTTGGAATAAGCTTCATCAATCGATCATCACTTGACCATCATTCAATGAATTTCTCAGCACTAACAAATTTCAAAATAAGTTTCATCCACCATCACTGGGTCAATACTCATAGGTGTCTCAGCATTAACCATTCCAAGATAAACTTTGTCCACTAATTGATCTCATCATTCAATCATAATTTGCAAGTCATATCGACCAATTCATCCTTGTACTCATCACTTGGTTGTATCACTTTTCAAGATTTGCCCCATTATATCCTTCATTTGATCACCTCATATATTTTTTCAAATCATCTCTTTTAGGTTTCTACCATTTCTTCATTTTGTTACCACCATCATCTTAGATTTCTTTTCAAATGAATGTAAGATTCTTTTAAACACATATTCATTCATTCATTATCATTTCAAATCTTGACAAATACAATGCAATCAAGCATTTTCTCAATTCACGTAGGGGTGAAATAATAAGAGAACATAAGGTGAATTATCACTGAAGATCTATTTTGGTATAAAACAAATGAGAAAGGACATAAATTGGATATATGTCATTGGGATGGATGGTATGTCTAAATGATGAATATTCAGACAATTCTCAACATTAATCTAGGATTCTTTTTCAAAAACTCATTCCATTTACTATTGAAGTCAACTTGAGCTTGGCGAACTTTGCCCCAGTCTTTGAGGGATCTTCAGATATCTTTGATCTTCCATTCATGTGAGCCATTTGACCTAGATCTTTTTTTTTTTACCAAAATCACCTTTTGAGGTTTTCAATTTGAATCTTTTTTTTTCATTTTCTCATTTTTCCATTTTTTTCTCATTTTTTCTTTTTTTTTCTTTTTTTTTCCTCATCTTCTTTTTTTTTTTTGTCAATTTTTCATCCATTGTTGATATCTTCTATACATTCAACTTTAAAGCATGATTCCATTGCTTCATCATGAGCATACCTTCGCTCAACCTATGATCATTCAAGTTGAGTATTCACACTTGATCCAAATAGACTTTTCAAGGTTGTAATGTAGGCCAAGGTGAAGGGTCATAAAAAAAAGGATATAATAGGCTCAAAACATGTATTAAAAAGGTTCAAAACCAAAGGATCATTTGATACAACTTGGCATTTTGCCCCTACATCGTTTCACTATTTTTTCTTTCTTCACACAAAGGATTCTCATTACTTTGCCCCAAATCATGTGTGTCATTTATTTTTCTTTTGCTTTTCTTTCTCTTTCCATCTTTGAGACCTTTTGTGGTGTTTTTTTTTCTTTTTTTTTTCAAAATTTACCCTCCAGTGTAGAGGGTGATCCTTGGTTGGGGTTCTTCAGAAAAAAATGATACGCTCAAAGGGGTAACAATAAATGGTTTTTCAAATGGTAAAAGAAAGATGGCCATTTTTCATCTCAATTGTGAATACCTTTCTTGAACATCATCTATTGAACAAAGCTCATGAACTTGTATAAAAGATTGCACATATTCAAGACATATCTATTTCACCTCCACTAACAGCTTACTTTTTGCTCAAATCATCTCCTCATATTAACGTGGATGAGTTCTCAAAATTAAATCCCAAAATTATTGTTATCATTGTCTAAATATTCATCATCTGAAATTTAAGAATGGGAATGTGAAGTTATGAAAGGTAACAGGGCATGGAATAATGGTCGAGTGAAAGAGAAAATGTAATGAAATGCATTAACTTGCCCTTATTAAGATGATAACACATGAAATCATATTGCAGAAAAGAAATCCTAACATTACTTTAAAAGAACTCTTAGAATTATAAGTGGCATTCAACCAGTTTTAACATCCTCTTCAAAATCATGCCCGTGGGCAACCAGGTGAAGGATTTTTATCTCGTCCCATTGATTCATTGTGACTTTTCATATTCTTGATCCTCAAACAAAATGATTGGGCTTTTCCTATCGAGTTCTAAAGATACAGGCTTGACCATTTGAGCGGCTGCTTCCATTATCATGCTCCCTATTGTATTACTTCTGGTAAAGGCAATCTTGTCAACATTGGGATGATATGCCAAAATAATCATAACTTTCAAGCCCAATCCAATCAGAACATTCAAGACATCTGGAGGAAAACCAACCTTCCTACATATGTTAGCCAGCTCCAAACAGGTGATAGGTACCAACCCGAAAGGCTTCAGTATTGCAGCACAATCTTTTGCTTTGCATCTAAACCTTCAGCAAGGAACATATAGTACTCAAAACATCCAGCAACATCATCAATGTCCCAAGTTGCTTCATCAAGTAGTTTTCCATAATCAATTGCTCAAGCTTTGCTAATTCAGATTTTTTCTCTGTTATCTTGGGAACGATGGCCTGTAAATACTTGGCACGAACAATGCCAGAAGTTGAAGCTCATTTCATCCGTGATTAATCGTTGCACCTCATGCTTTAGAGTAGTGAAATTTTCAGTGCAATGGCCAACAATTTTATAGCGGTAGTCATAATGAGCTGTAGGATCATACCGCTTAGGATGAGGTGGTTTAAGAGGGTCCACATAGCTTGGGGGCAATCAGGTGGCTATTATAGAGCTCTCAGTATAACTTCATGTAAGTCATGAGGATTGGATCAAATACAAGTTTTTCTCGAATAGTCCATTGCTCTCAGTGAACCACTTTCCAGGCTAATAGGATGAATTTAGGGTCTTGCAAGAGTTTGACTGTTAAGGCTGTATATGGGAGCTTGGGGGATAAAAATGGGCTGGTATATGGATGAATTAGGTGGTTGTGGGGGCTAGTTGGTATGGATAAGATGAAGCATTATTCACAGTAAGATAGTATGGAGAGCAATCTAAAGATAGATAGGGTTGATATCCCCTGAACTATCTGTCAAAGCCTACAGCTTGAACTTCAGTCTTTTTCTTTTTGGGTGCCTTCTTGCTTTCTTCTTCTTTCAGCTTGCCATTCTCAATGATTTCATCTAAGATCACCATGTCAGCAAAATTCTTTGTGTCATTCCCTATCATCTCTTTATAATAGAGGAACTTCAAAGTACTGACAAACAATACGGTGGCCTCCTTTTCATTCAAAGAAGGTTGCACTTGAGAAGCAATATCCCTCCACCGTTGGCTTTGAATGATTCAGTTGCTTTTTTATTCATATTCTTGAATTTTGAAAGAATAACCACATCAGGAACTAAACAGGGCCCGGCAGCATCAACTGACTGTAAAAACTAACTCCATCCACTGCTCGTAGCGTTTTCTCTAACATGTTCAGCTTTTGAGGCTTCTAAAGTCCCCTTCTCCTTAGGTCTCAACTTTTCTTCTAGATCATCCAAATTAGGGACTAATATTGATTCTACTGCCTTTTCAGTAAAGATAAGAATTGTCCTTGATTTGAAGCTAATGGCATCCTGGGATACGTGTACCCTACAGGATAGGTGAACCACTGTAGTGGTAGACCTTGTGCAGATTAAGCTTGATGTGGCTTGAAACCAGGAGGGCACAATGGGTCATCCTCCTTCTATTAGCTAGCATTCTCCTCTATTGCCTTCCCCTTGGTTAGCTTGTTCAAAGCCTCTAATATCTTATTTAACTCTTCTTCTAACTTTTCTTGAGCTTTCTCTAATCTCTCGAAATGATTGGAATTTTTTTGTTCCATTTACCTGGCTCGAGCTCTTGTGTTGTATTGGTGGGTGGAATTGCTTGGTGGAGCTATCCTTGAACCTCTAGTACCACAATTATGATTAAAAATGCTATGCTATGCTTTATGTATGATGCTTTGATGCACGAATGAAATGTATATTTTCCTGAATGAAATCTAATATGAAATGGATGCAAATGATTGTGTTAAAACATGATGATGTAATGCAGATGCATACAATCAGACAAACAACATAGTTAGTTCCATGGATGAAATGAAAGTGATGCCGATGCATAATGTTACATATGATAATGAAAATGATGCACAAAGTTAAACAATCAAAATGATTAGATAAACACCCTTTTGTGTCTTAATTTCAGGGTATATCTATCATTGGGTAGAAAAGGGCTCTATCCTAGGTTTAGGCACTCTTAAGGTTCACTATATGTGGTTTAAGATCAAAGTCTAAAGGTTTCCAAATTGCTCCTTACATCATTGTCTATCACAGACTAGTAAGGCACCCTAATCCTCACCCATTACAGGCTACAAACGAAAAAGGTTCAATTTGAGTGGGAGTATTTCGCTAGCCACTGCGGAGGTATTAGACCTCACGAAAGCAATAGGTACTTTACTCCCTCCTAGAGGGACAGAGCTCGGGTGTAGAGCTCATGTTATGCACATGCATATGAATGACATAATTAACAACGTAAATAAATATGAATGAATAATAACACATATATACAAACAGGTTCAATTTTATTAGGTTTTTGGATAACACAAATTATTTGCTGGCCTGACTCTCAAAGTCCCCAGTGGAGTCGCCAAGCTGTCATAACGTCCAGATCCGAGGATCTATCGCTAGACGTGGACCTTTCCAGGGAGTCGCCACAATCTTTTTATCTAGGTGCGATTGGCCACCTAAAGAATCTGTCTTTCAGGGAACACTTAAGTTTAAGGGTCCCTAAAAGAATAGGTTCAAGTCTACAAACCAGAACAGGAATTCGAAAGTTTGGTTACGTGTGAGGAAGGTTATAGCACCCTCACAACGCCATCAAAAAGATGGTACCAGCTTAAATTTATGTTATCCAATTAGCCTTAAAATTTTACCAAGTAATTAGTTATTGGAAATTATTCTCAATTGACTCTAATACTTTCAGCAGAAAATTGAGAAAATCCCTCACCTCAAGAAGTATGCAAGAAAGAACTACTGTTTCACTTGCAGAGGCTCGTCGTCGGATTGTTTAAAGAAAAATAAAATCAAATCAAAATAAGAAGGAAGGAAGATGATTGTTCTTGTGCAGGAAAATTGATACTTTCAACTTTTCCCCAAAAATATTCTTTTGAAACTTTAATTTCGAGGAAAATTGATACTTTCAACTTTTCCTCAAAAATTTAAAAATTTATTTTTAAGGAAAATTGATACTTTCAACTTCTCCCAAAAATATTTTTTTGAAAATTTTGATTTTAAAGGAAAATTGATACTTTCAACTTTTCCTCGAAAATCTTTTTTTTGAAAACTTTGATTTTAAAGGAAAATTGATACTTTCAACTTTTCCTCGAAAACCTTTTTGGAAAATTTATCTTTAAGGAAAATTGATATTTTCAACTTTTCCTAAAAATATTTTTCGAAAATTTTGATTTTCAAGAAAAATTGATACTTTCAACTTTTTCTCAAAAACCCTTTTTTTGAAAACTTATTTTTAAGGAAAATTGATACTTTCAACTTTTCTCTAAAAATATTTTTTTTTTTGGAAATTTTGATTTTTATTTTAAAAAAATAGAATAATAAAAAAATAAAAAATAAAAAAATAAAGAAAAGTAAAACAAAAATAAAAATAAGATAAAGATAAAAAATATTAAATAAATCTAATCTAATAAATAAAAATTAAAAAATTAAAAAATTAAATTAAAAAAAAAAAACCTGGAGCGGCTCGGATCGCGGCTCGGCTCGGCTCAAGGAAGAAAAACGACTTGGGGGAGCGGCTTGGAAGCTCGGCTCGGCTCGGCTCGGAGGGGGGCTGGCACGCTCGGGTCAAAAAACGGGTCGACGCTCGGGTCGGGTCGGGTTTTCGGCAAAACGCGCGGATCCTCTGGTTACTTAAAGCCAAAATGACGTCGTTTTGAAAGGGTATAAAAGGTACTTCCCTCTATTTTTTGGCAGAACCCTTCTCCTCTCTCTCTCTCTTCTTCTTTTTTCCTCTCCCTTCTCTCTAAAAGCTGAAGAACACCGGTGAAATTTTCGTCGGATTCTGGAAAATGTCACTCTAAATCTGGAAAATTTCGTCGGAAGTTGGCCGGAAGATCACCGGTTTCTGGGAATCTTGCCGGAAACTGGGTAGGTCACCGGAAACTTAAGGTTCGTCGGAATTGTTGCCGGAAAATTCAAATGTCGTCGAAATTTTCGTCGAAATCTGGAAATTTCCCAAAAATTTCCAGAAAAATTTTTCGCCAAAAATTTCTAAAAAAATTATTTCCGATCCCTACAGCTATCCTAACTCTTCTCAACCTTCTTTAGCCTTCGAAAACTCTTCTATACACCTCTTTTCTCTCCAATTCAGTAGCTTTGCTCACTGTTTTTTTTTTTTTTGCCTTTCATTCTGTTCCAGGAGGTGCCTTTTATAGGGGTTGATCAGGAGTTCCTGATCAATCCCAATTCCTCCTTGGACGGGGATTCAATCTTTGAATCCAATTGGACTCTTCTGATTGAGTTCCCCTCCACAGTGGGATTCTTCATCTTTTAATCCCAGCCATCCAAAAAAGAAAACAAAGAAAAAATAATAATAATAATAAAAAAAAATCAGATACGAATCAAGAAAAGAGAGAAGAGAAAAAAAATTATTAACAGATAATTAGGGACACAATAAGATAAACCAACCAAAAAAAATATTACAAGAAAAAGAGAAAAAAAAATAATTATAATTATAATATAATAATAAATATATAACTATATAAATATAATACATATAAATATTAACAGAGAAAAAAAATAAATAAAGATATACATATATTAATATATAATAATAATAATGAATAATAAAATATGTAAAATACAAAAGAAGAAAAAAGAAAAAAAAAACATAAGATAAAAATTGGATTGTGCTTACCCATTTGGGCCAGGCCCAATTGGGCTGGGCCTGGACCCAATTGGGTGTCTACAATATAAATATATATATATATATATATTTTATGAAGTCGGTCCATCAAATTTTATAATTTTAATTTGAGAGGTAAATAGCAGTTCTCTCTTTTTGTACTATGTAAGCCGTTGATCGAGCACAATAGGCGGCATCGAAAAGCTCATGATGGTAACAACACATCCATGGGCTTGGATTTAAGGGGATTGAGTTCACTTCCACATTAAAAACAGTTTTAGTTATAAATTACGATAGTGATTCGGTAAGCCTTCAGCCAAATTGGTTATAGTTCAATTAGAGCTTCATCTAGTTCAAAATAGGGTCCAAATTGCCTTAGCAATAGCACATATTGCTCAAGGAAAAAGTAGTTAATATTCTTCTTTCCCGAAAAGAAAATAAAAAACCTTGATTGAAAAGAAAACAGAATGGCTATACTGATAAGGATGTGGTTGAAATATGGACAGAAATCTTATAAATTCGAAAAAATATTTTCTTTTATACCCAAAAATAAAAAGAAATGAGAATATAAATTGGCGCAACGACCTTTATTTTCAAGTGTTCTTTTAAGCAAAAAAGAAAATAAAACTACTACTAATATATGATTAATATAGATGATAACTCTTTATGAATTCAAAATAACTAGAAATTGTTATCATATATATATGTATGTATATATAGAAGAATGAAAATTTGTAGAAATGTTCAACTAGTATGTAATATAATTGTTAGCGAAAATTATACATAGCACTAAACTTTGATTGTACATCATCTCAAAGATTTACAAATTCACAGATAATATCCAACAAAAAATTTGGTCCTCCTCCACTATCTCAATTGAAAAGGGAGAAGAAACAAAAAAGGGAAGAAAAAATGTTGGTGTTTGACTCAAATATTCACCAATAAGGAGTTGCACTCTCAGATTTACTTAGAAGCTCCTCCAAATAATTAGCTCCTAAATCCTTAAACACCAGGATAATTTCCATCCCCATTTCCTTCTTTCTTGATCTTCATGTTCCCTGATCTTTTGCTCTTCATGGAGTACCTTTTCTCAATTGTCAAAGTAGGTGAACAACTTTCTTCAAATCCATAGTTCATTTCTTGAAGTGAATCATAAACTGTATCCATTGGAAAACTGAGTATCACCATCGGACCTCGCATTGCGAGTGTAGCTTGATCATACACTAGCTGTAGCCTCAGCTATATCCAAGGTTCCAGGCCACAGCCTAACACCATTCCTTATGGAATCCCTTATCTCAGCTGCCTATTTTCCCCATGGCCTCTTCCTAACTCCTCTATACTAAACCTCCTTTCCTGTCTCATCTTCATTTGCATTCAAGTTCACTTAATGATCCTTTCTAAAACTATTAACGGATGTGGTATCAAAAGTGTTTTCCTATGCTTGATTTAGGACTCCCAAAGGAACATTTCTTGGGAGTCATTTCCATTGAAAGGAAGGGTTTGGTTATGGAGATAATTGAATGATTCTGGTGAGAATTTTTTTGAGAAATATAGGAAGAAGAGGATTCAAGAGACAATTGGAGATTTGGGTAATGAAAAAATGAAGAGTCCATGCATGAAAATCAAGTAATTCTTACAATGGAAACGATTATTCTTCTTCGATCTTTTAATTAATTCACTTTGATTTTGCTTTTTGGTTTTGGTCATGGGAAATGAAATTTGAAGCTTAGTGATATATATATATATATATAGTAATTACAAGCTAGGGAGGGAAAGGCTACATTATTCAAATATTTATTTTAAAAATGTAAAAAAAAAAAGAAGAAGGAACAAATTAAAGAAACGATGGAAAGAGAGTAAAATTGTATGAAGATGTTATTAGCGTCCAACATCATTATTTGGTCGCAGAATCGACAGGTGAGTCAAAAGGAATACTCGTCGGGGCATGACGGCCAGGTCAAGTCAAAATTCTCTTACATCACCCGTGATGTTTCGCTTTTATGTCCTACCTATAACTCATATTTTTAGCTAATTAAAATTGTAAATCATTATGCTTAGAGTGATCAATTACAATGTTAATTACCTTATATTGATGAACATGATTTGATTAATATAGTCGGGTTATAGTTAAAGTTTGTCATAATTTTATTTTTTATGCAAGAAAGATTATAATTTGAGAATTAAAAAAAGAATTATAGATGCATAAATTTAAATTTTAATCTAATCTAAAGTACTTTTTAAAATATTTATATAAATCAATTAGACTAGACTTTGAATTTATAAAAAGATTACTTTATATATATATATACACTTTTCATTTAAATTATATGATATAATCATATTATTGAAAGGGGTTAATTTTAATTTTTCAAGTATCACTAATAAGTGAATGCTGATGAAATAAAAATTTACCTATCTAATAATAATGTATAATATAGAATAAATAATCAATATATTTTTAAAAATATTATTTTATGGTGTGATTTTAATAAAACAAAAAAATATATTTTTTCATTGAATAATTATTTCATATAATCCTTCTTTTATTAATTATGTCAAAATTTATCGTAAATGAGTTTCTTAAACTAGCATAATTGATGTTATACTAATTTTTTGAATAGAAAATAAGATGTTATACTAATTGTTAATACATACATTGGTCATTATTTTAAATGTTTTTATCCATTACTAGAATTTCATCCCACTATTTTAGGTAAGTTACTTTTCATTGTTTTTAATATATTTATAATTATTTTTAATAAAAAAATAATAATAATTTTAACTCACTTGTTGAATCTTATAAATATATCAAAATTAAAAAATAATAATAATTTTTAACTCACATGTTACGCTTTTGTTGTTGGCTCTTTTGCTATGACATGAACTTTTATTTTTTATTTTCAAATTTATAAATTATTTGTTCAAATCTATGACGTTTTTCCAATTTAGTTTAAATTATAAACATTTTAAAACTTGTAGAAAAAAGAAAAAGAAAAATACAACTATATTTTTTTATGATGACTTACGTTTGATTTTTAATTTTTTGAATTTTTTTTCTTTTTATATTTCTTTATTTATTATTATTTCGATTAAAATTTTTCAAAATTACATAAATTTGGATAAAAAAGACTATTTTGCTTGATTCATTCATGGGTTAGTAATGTGAAGTGAATTGACAAAATCAGGTTGATCAGATTCGGCCAGCTTTTATATATATATTTTTTCTCGTAAACCGACATTCTCCAATTTCTATATAATTGCAATAAAAGCTTTCACTTCCTTTGGATTTATAAAAAATTGTAGTTTTTGAAATTTTACTTTTGAACAACAAATCAAAATCATAACGAAGACTAGTATAAGAAATATTTCAAATTAGAGGATTTATAAAAAAATTTTACCTTCAAGCCATATTGCATAAAAACTTGAACATAGGTCTACGAATCAAATACATTAACACACACAATTTTATTTCATTTCAATAAATTATAACATGGAATACTACATCCATAAACCGAATACATGGATTAAATAAAAAGCTTGCAAATCAAGTTATTACATTACCAAACACACCGAAATGAGCTTCAATTACAAATAATTACATACCAATAGTAGCCCAAAACACATATAGCTTATCACCAATTTGCTCCACTTTTTAATAATAAGCAAACCTCCAAGACCTGACGAAAACCAGGGGAGCCACTACCCCCCAAAACCCCATCACAAATCCAAGTACTACGCTTACATAAAGCCAATTCACATTAGACCTTTTCTTTCCTCCACTCCTACCTCCATTTGTAACATCAGGTGTTTCGCCATTTCTGCTGCAATTTTTAGTGACTGGAGGTCCACAAAGATGATTGCCAATGTACGAAAACCTGTCAAAGCTTTGCAGCTGGGTGCCTGATGGGATTTGTCCTGTCAAGTTGTTGTAGGACAAGTTCAAGTGATTCAAGAAATTCAAATTGGAGAAACTTGAAGGGATTTCACCATGGAGTTGGTTCATCGATAAGTCAAGAGATTCCAACACCTCCATATTGCCAATGTTCTCTGGTATCTTTCCTGTTAGGAGATTCCCTGACAAATTTAATGACCGCAGTCCTATGAGATTACCAAGTTCTTCGGGGATCTCTCCTCTGAGACTGTTAACTGAAAGGTCTATGCCGACAACAAGTCCTAGTATGGTACTGTAATCATCCTCTCTTCCTTTCATCACCAATAATGCACCCAAAAGAAACAGGTTATTAGACTCGAATGACCAGGTACTGTTTCCCACGTGTATCTTGAGGGGTTTTATGGCCATGGCACTTAGGTTACTAAAACATTTTGGAATTGCTCCTGAAATGTTGTTATAACCAAGATCCAAGAACTGAAGAGAATTATGAGCACAAATTTGATCAGGAATATAGGCTTGGAATTTATTTGAACGGAGGTTTAGAACCACAAGGTTTAAGAGGTTGTCTCCAATCCATGCTGGAATACTTCCCGTCAATTGATTTTCACTAAGATCAAGAATAAGCATGTCAACCAAATTCTGCAGTGTAGATGGTACTTCTCCAAGTAGGTTATTGTTACGAAGGTTTAATGACAGAACACGGCGCAAAAATCCCAAGGATCTAGGAATTTTCCCAGTTAGATTGTTGTTTCCCAAATTTAAGACTTTCAAAAATTGCCAATTTTCCCAACAATTTGGAATTTCACCAGATAGAAGATTTGATTCAATGTCAAGAATGGTCAAAGGTTCCAATTTAGTTGAGGAATTGCAAAGAAAATTGGAAAGTGTTCCTGAAAATAGATTCTTAGACAAAAATAAAAACATCAAATCTGAGGGTGCCTGTAGCAATGGACCTGTGAATAGGTTGGAACTCAAGTCAACAACCAAACTCCTAGGAAAATATGAAATCTTCCCCACTAGTTGGTTGTTGGAAAGATTTAGATATTCAAATTGAGTCGAAAGGTTCCAAAACCAAGTGGGAATGACACCTGGAATTTCAGCATGGGAGATATCTAAATGAAACAAGTTCTTTTGGAATTGTAGCCACTGAGGAAATTTCGGACCAAGATGACAGTTACCTAATTCAATATTTTCACAGTGGAAAGGAGGAATCCAACTTGGATTTGGTTTAAACGTTAACATGTTGTTAGATGCCCTGAAAATTCTCAATCTTGTGAGATTAGAGAAGTGCATTTCTGATATATTTCCTTCCAACATATTATTGCTAACGTCTAAATGTTCCAAATTCCCAAGTTGTCCTAAACTTTGAGGAAGAGTTGCATTCAATTGATTGTTTGAAACATCAAGCAACTTCAAAGATGATAGCTCCCCTACCGGAAGAGGTCCGGTTAATTGATTGTATGAAACATCAAGAACTTTCAATGATGACAACTTCCCTATTGAGAATGGAATGGGACCAGAAATGGAGTTTTCAGAAAGGGAAAGGTATGCCAGATTTTTAAATTGGCTGAGTTGATCAGGTAAATGGCCAGAAAGTTTGTTAGATTCAATATTTAAATGACTCCTAATCGATCCAAACTACATCTAAGACCAAACTCTCTATGATTTCTGATACCCTTATGATCAAATTCCGTTATTTGACAAATCCATCTCTCATCGAGATTACAAAGACTCTCCAAAATTTGGGTTTATAATATTCCAAGCTGGTTATAGTGAACAATCAAGATGAGTAAGAGAGATTAAGTTTCTAAATGGCACATGAAAAATTACCTTGCAGGCCGACACTGCTAAGACCAAGGAATTGAAGTTGGTTGAAATTAGACAACCAGCTGAGTGTCGATGAAGAAGAGAATGAATTCCTACTAAGATCAAGAAATTTGAGAGAAGACATATTTGAAAACCATTGGGAATCACACCTTCAACTTCATTGGAGCTAAGATCAATGGACACAAGACTACGAAGACTGAATATCCATGTAGGCACCGAAGACAATGTATTTGTGGAAAGATCAAGAACAGCAAGAGATTTGTAATTAACACTGATTGGAGATGAATCATTATTTAGATTGCAGCCTGACAAGTGTAACTCTACCAAAGAAGGAAGTTTGTGTGTTGCCTGCAGCCAATCAGTTGCTTTACCAAGATCTGCAGAACTCAAATCAAGATACTGCAGAGAAGAAAGACCAGAAACCCATTGAAGAGTTTTAGCTTCAAATAGGGAATTGTATCCAAGATCAAGGCAATGCAAATTTGAGAGATTTCCAAGCATATGGGGAATTGTTCCTCGAAAATTTGCCCGAGAAAGGTTAAGATATGTCAAACTCTTCATCGAACCAATGAATTCGGGAATTGCCAGACCTCCAAAGTCGTTATTGCTTAAGTCTAGGAAATTGAGACATTTCAACTCGATCAAAGAAGGATTTACTCTGCCCCCTAGCTTTGAGCGAAAGTAAGCATCCCATTCAGCTGACCGAAAATAAGCATCCCACAGAGCAATTGGCTTATCCTCATGAGCATCCCTTTCAACGACTGGCACATCTTCAGCAGGACTTCTTGAAAGAAGCCCCAAGTGCAGCTCTTTGACGTGGCCAGTCAAGTTATTGCAGAAAACACCAAGCCACTCACAGCAATTCTCACCTTCAACCCAAGAAGATAGCCTGTTTGATTGATCAATGAGGTCTTGCTTGAACTTCAAAAGGGCTTGTCTCTCACGTTCAATGCAAAGCGCATTGGAATTCCCATTACAAAAGCTAATATCGATGGCTGCGATGGCAAGAAGAAATCCAAACAAGGAAATTGTAACCGCTCTCATGGTTGCATATCGATCCTTGCTACCAACACCGAATATATAAAGTTAAAGAAAAATATTTTCCACCACATCAAGTGCTAGGAATTTTCTTCAAAGGCCTCCAATTTAAAATTCCAGCTTGAATTTTCCTCAAAAGCAATCATACGTATAAATTCGACAAGTGTAGAAAGAATATAAAAAGAACTTGACAAGAACTTTAAGTCAACCAAGTCTATGGAGCAAGTCTCACGGCCAGCTAATTAACTCTTTAGGTTTTAGAAAACAGGAAAAAATGAAATAAAAAATGAAAAGTTTAGAAAAAAAATAAAATTACATCAACTTTAGAAAAAAGTTAAATACTCTTTATCTTTATTTTTTTCTATAGTTATTGCTTTTTTTTGTTAAATCAAATTTTGCTAAATATTTTTAGCTAAAATTAAGCAAAATTGTTGAAAAAAGATAATTCAAGTACAACACTGGTTTTATATAAAAATAAAGTTATAATAATTTATGTACATGACTTTAAACATTTAATTTTGTAAATTTTTAATATATCTTTTATAGTTAACACAGTTATTATTTTTTCATTAATTTTTAATATAATTTTAATCACCGTTCATTAGCATCATTTTCTCAATTCATGGCTAAGTCTTAAACACGTAAATGATAAGACGAATGCATAAAAAAGTAACGAACACGGAGCACAATAAGCCAGCTTGATCTAACCCTTGAGGCAGAAAACTTGTGACCGTTGCTTTCAACTTTTGATAGTAGGCTAACCACCATGATTTGATGAAACACAAAGAAAGCTTGTGACCTCCAATTTCCCACTTGAATTTTCCACAAAAAGCATTTTATAGTCCATTAAAATTCAACAATTGTAGAAAGAACAAAAGACTTGATAAAGGAGTCAAGTCCACCAAGTCTATGGAGTAAGTTTGCACGGCCCAGCAATTAACTCTTTAGGTCTTAGAAAAGAGAAAAAATAAATAAAAATAAAAAATTGAGAAAAAATAAAATTACAAAAAATTTAGAGAAGTAAAACTCTTTTTCTTTATTATTTTTTTGCTATAGGCTTTTTTTTTAAAAATCAAAATTTGCTATATATGTTTAGCTAAAATTAATGTAAAATAAGTGATGATGGTAATAATTAATGGTTAAAATAAGATATGATAATGTAAACTATATATATTTTTTTGGTCAGTAAAAGTAAAATTAATGGTGAATAAGTGATGATGTTTATAATTAATTTAATATTATCAAGTTCAACTAATTTAAAAATAATATTTTTATGAATTATAATAAAGAAATTAAAATTTATATTTCGTGTTATCAGGGAGAACTGAAAACCTCCCACGACTAACCCAATCAACAAGCACACGTTCTTCATCCTTACCACCTTCATTTGTAACAACTTTTCTGTTGTAGTTTACACTGACCGGAGGTCCACAAAGTTGATTGCCAATGTAAGAGAACTCGTCAAAAGTTTGGAGTTAGGTACTTGATGGGATTCTTGCCCTCAAAATCAAGAGATTTTAGTATCCTCATTGTCACGCTCCAAACCTGAAGATTTAGAGCTTAATAATGCCGCATACTTATGAGACGAATCTTATAAGCGTATAAGACAACAGATATCTAACTAAATTAAAATCTTCAATAATCTTTAAAATAATACTTTACAGAATCTCAAGTCTATAAAATTATACTCTTTGTAAATTAGTCGAATATACTAAAATTCTTACTAATAAATCTTTTAGAATCAATAATAAAATACTCACTTCAAAAGTAATACCAAATTAAAGATAGATTCCTAATCTTGCTAATCAAAGTAGTAGTTGTC